ACACATGCAAAAAAATTAGATATTTAAGATCAAATATTTCTACATGCTCAACATAATTTTTCCAGTCTTTAGAACTATTTTTATTGCTTTTTATTCATAAATGCAGATAAGCCAATTGTGGCTTCTACAAGCCTCTAGTGTTAGTTAGGCAAATTAATAATGCTAAGTAGGGTATTTAATAACTTCTGACACAAAAAGTTCTGGAAATGTATATTTTAAGGGATTAAAATGATTCTACATAAATTATTATAAACATTTATATTTATCAAATTTATATAAACTAGGAAATGATGACTGGGTTATATTATAGAACATTATACTGATTTTAAGAAAGGAAGTTTTGGCATTTTTTTGAGGAGGGGTCATGTTATACTGTTGATTGAGCAAGACCTGTCCTACATAAAAAAAAATTACTAGCCGGGCGCTGGTGGCTCACGCCTGTAATCCTAGCTACTCAGGAGGCTGAGATCTGAGGATTGCTGTTCAAAGCCAGCCCAGGCAGGAGAGACCCTGAGACTCCTATCTCCAATAAACCACCAGAAAACCGGAAGTGGCGCTACTCAAGTGGTAGAGCGCTCGCCTTGAGCTGAAGAGCTGAGGGGCAGCACCCAGGTCCAGAGTTCAAGCCCCACGACCGACAAAAAAAAAAAATTACTAAACACTGTACAAGATGCTATGCTGAAAATCAAACTTTACAACTTTGGTGTGTGTGGGGGGAAGTGTAGTTGTGGAGATGGGAGGGCAGGGATGGTAAGGGAAAAACAAAGGAAGAAGCAACAATGCTTGATAAGAAATGTACTCAATTACCTTGTTCATGTAATTGTAAGCCCTCTGTACCGTATTTTCACAATAAAAAACTTATTAATAATAATAATAAATTACTAAACATATATATGTATCTCCTAGCAAGTGCCAGTAGGAGCTCAGACAAATGTTTAAGGAATACAGCCTGAATGTAGATAATATTTGTTACTTTAAGGTAGTGAAAGTAGAATTATTTGGTAAATATAAATTTTTAATTAATAAAATTATCATAACTCATTGAAAGTACAAGTATGACTAACATAAACACATTCTAATGTATCCCCTAATAGCCAAAGATAGTTAGTTTTGGGCAGAATAAATTTCAAGTTTTAGTTTATGAAAACACTAGAAATTTTCAATTTTAATTTTATGAAAACAGACTATTGTAATTTTCAACTACTGAGTTGAAAATCAGTAAAAACTGATTTTTAAAAGAAATATAAGATTAGAAATAGACATTTCAAAGTTCAAATCTTCCGAATATTATTATCTAACAAACTAAATTGTTCTTTAAAATATTAGAACTGAAAGATTCTAAATACTATCAACAGTATTGATATAAATTTTTGGTACAGATTAATATTAGGTTAAATATTTTCCTATGTAAAAATAATATAACCTGATAGTGTTATGCTAAAAATTCAATGAGAATTATAGAAAATACCTATTTTAAAACATGGCACAATTATACTATTTTCTTTATTTCTAAGGCAATTTATATTGAATTCTAAATTCTTTTTTTTTGTCAGTCATGGGGCTTGAACTCTGAGCCTGAGTGCTGTCCTTGAGCGCTTCAGCTTAGGGTTTGCACTCTACCACTTGAGCTACAGTGCCACTTTCAGTTTTCTGGTGGTTTATTGGAGATGTTTCATGGCCTTTCCTATGCTGGCTTTTTATGTGATCCTCAGATCTCAGCCTCCTGAGTAGCTAGGATTACAGGCATGAGCCACTGGCACCGGGCCTAAATTATTTTTTTAATTTAAATAATAAATTACAAAAACAACAAAACAGTTCTAGCTTGTTAATGATGTTGTTGTATTATATACATATTTTAGACTAAACTTAAAGAATGATAAATTGAATATTGAAATAATTTTTATCACTTTATATAATTTCCATGTTTTCTTTGAAAAAATATCTTAGTAATATTATAGAACAAAGAAGGAGCTTGTTTCAGTATAAGCATTAGTATACTCACACAGAAAATGTCAAAAACTAATGTCCACCTAACAGTATATTTACAATAGTAAATCTAAATTGGGTTTCAGCCACATCGAACTAGTTCATTTACCTGTTTAATATCAAGAACCAAATAAGCTCAGTTTACACATACAAAATCTTTAATATCTTCTTTTTGTCTTGTTTGTTCATTTATCTGTCTTTGAGAGGGTAAGAAGGACACAAAAATGGAGGAACAAAAGTGAATAAATGTAGCAGTGGTACTCATTAGACACTATGTTGAAAATGAACAATACAACTTATGGATGGGGACAGGAGGGAAAAACTGGGAGAGAGAGAAAAGGAAAGGGGAGGGGACATTGTCCAATAAGAAATATACTCAGTACCTAACTTATGTAACTGTAACCCATCTGTAAATCACCTTTAAAATAACAATAAAAATTTAAATAAGTGGGCTGGGAAGGTGGCTCAGTGGTAGAGGGCTTGCCTTGCATGCATGAGGCCTGGGTTCGATTCCTCAGCACCACATATGCAAAAAGAAAAAAGCTGGAAGTGGCGCTGTAGCTCAAGTAGTAGAGCACTAGCCTTGAGCTGAAGAGCTGAGGGATAGTGCCCAGGCCCAGAGTTCAGGCCCCAGGACTGGACCCCCCCAAAAAAAATTTAAATAAGTAAGTAAAATTAAAACCTAAAGCAAAGTTGGAGAAAAAAAAGGGAGCAGGATTATGTAGTAAATGGACCTGGAGCTTCTTTTTTATACCTGAGTTTTATGACTGCATTCCCCTTCTCATTACTCCCTCCCCCTTCTGGCTTCATTTGTCTACACCTCCTCTCCCTGATCCCATCCTATTCTAGTACCCATTACTCTGCTTGAGTTCTCCCTCCTCCCCCCAATCTACCTTATTTTTGAACCTGGAGTGTTTACAGGATTAAAACACTACACATTTATTTATTTATTTATTTTGGTTGGTTGTGGGGCTTGAACTCTGGGCCTGGGCGCTGTCCCTCAGCTCTTCAGCTCAAGGCGAGCGCTCTACCACTTGAGCTACAGCACCACTTCCATGAGTACATTTCTTATCAAGCATTGTTGTCTCCTCCTTTGTTTTT